CTTTCACGTCAGGAGGACGTCCCAAGGCGCTGCACAGTTGGGTCAGGACCCGAGCAGGGAGAAATGGTCAGGGTGAGGGGAGGGAAGGGAGGGAGCGAGGAGGGGGGAAATGGTCAGGGTGAGGGGAGGGAAGGGAGGGAGCGAGGAGGGGGGAAATGGTCAGGGTGAGGGAGGGAAGGGAGGGAGCGAGGAGGGGGTAGAGAGTCGAGAGGGGAGCTGAAGGCTCGGTCAAAGAGAAAGGTTTTGAGACCGGCCTTGAAGGAGGAGAGGGAGGAAGCGGCGAAGGCACTGGGGGATGGAGTTCCAGAGCCTCGGGGCTGAGAGGCTGAAGGCCCGACCACCGATGGTAGGGCAATTGGGGCGGGGGACGTGGAGCAGACCGGAGCCGGAGGAACGGAGGGTACGGGCAGGTAGGTAGGGGGATAGTAGGTCAGAGAGGTAGGAGGGAGCAAGGCCGTGAATGGCCTTGTAGGTGAGGATGAGGATCTTGAAATCAATCCTCTGGGGGATGGGGAGCCAGTGGAGGCGAGCGAGGGTGGGAGTGATGTGGTCGCGAAGCCTGGTGCGGGACAGTACACGAGCTGCAGAGTTCTGAATGACCTGCAGCTTGTGGAGGGAGGTGGCGGGAAGGCCGGCGAGGAGAGAGTTCCCATAGTCCAGCCTTGAGGTGACAAAGGCGTGGACCAGGGTTTCAGCAGCGTGAGGGGTGAGGTAGTGCCGTAGTCTGGCGATGTTCCGGAGGTGATGGAAGGCGGTGCCAGTTGTGGTGCGGATGTGAGGGAGAAAGGACAGCTCAGGGTCGAACAAAACGCCGAGGTTCCTGACTGGCTTTGAGAGGTGGAGAGTGCAGCCTTGGATGCTGATGGTGTCAGCGCCTGAGGTGCGGAGGCGCTGACGTGAGCCAATCAGGAGGGCCTCGGTTTTTCGCACGTTGAGCTGAAGAAAGTTGTCTCTCGTCCAGGACTCGATGTCGGACAGGCAGCTGTCAGGACATCGGTGGTCGTGGAGTTGAGAGTAGAGGAGGAAAGGTAGAGTTGGGTGTCATCCGCATACATGTGGAAGTTAACCCATGTCTGCGGATGATGTCACCGAGGGGGAGCATATAGAGGGTGAAGAGGAGGGGACCGAGGACAGAGCCCTGAGGGACACCACATGAGACAGTGCGGGGGGTGGAGGAGAAGCCATTCGTTGAGACAAAGTGAAGACGGTGAGAAAGGTACGACCTAAACCATTCAAGGACAGTGCCTTGAAGGTTGAGGTGGGAGGACAAGCGGTGGAGTAGGATAGCGTGGTCGACCGTATCGAATGCTGCCGATAGGTCGAGGAGGACGAGGAGGCAGAGGGAGCCCTGGTCACAGATGGTCAGGATATCATTGGTGACCTTGACCAGGGCAGTTTCTGTGCTATGGGCAGCACGGAAACCTGACTGAAGGGGTTCGAAAAGTGAATGGGTGGAAAGGAAAGAGCGCAGTTGGGAGGCGACAACTCTTTCCAGGACCTTGGAGAGAAAGGGGAGGTTGGAGATGGGCCGGTAGCTTGATAGCTGCGACGCATCAAGGGAGGGTTTTTTCAGGGTGGGCGTGATGATGGCAGTTTTTAAGGGAATGGGGACAGAGCCAGAGGAGAGGGACAGGTTGATGATGTCGGTGATATGTGGGGCAAGAAAGTGGAGCTGGGAGATAAGGAGTGGAGTGGGGATGGGGTCAAGGGAGCAGGTGGTTGGTTTTAGGGATAGGATGAGTTCAGTGACAGAGGGTGGGGAAACGGGTACAAAAGTGAGTAGGGGAGGATGGGTAGCAGTCGGCGTGTGGGAGTGAGGGGTTGGTAGATGTTGGAGGAGAAGTGACCGCGGAGCGAATTCCTTGATCTTGGATTCAAGGAAATCCAGCATCTCCTCGCAGTGAAGGTTGGAGGAGATGACCTGCGCGGGGTGGCGGGGGGGACGGAGGAGTCGGGTTGTGGTGGAAAACAGTAGCCTGGGGTTGTTCTTCGCCTCCAGGATTATCCTGGAGTAGAAGGACGACTTGGCCGAGGCTAGAGTGGAGCGGTAAATTTTGAGGAGGTCCAGCCAGATTTGTCGGTGGACCGTTAGGCCAGATTTGACACAGGTGCGTTCAGCAGCCCGCACCTGGCTTTTCAGTGAGCGGAGGTGGGTGGTGTACCAGGGGGAGGAGCGGGAGTAGGAGACAGTGCGGGAAGTGATGGGGGCAAGAGTATCGAGTGTGGAGGAGAGGGTATTGTGGAGGAGGGAGAGAGGAGAAGAGGGGTCGGTGAGGGTTGAAGGCCAGAGGGAGAGGAGTTCAGAGGGTATAGCGCTGAGGGAAGGCAGACATCAATTCCTGGATGAGAGGTAACTTTCTACAGTTGAACGTCAACAAGACCGAGGCCCTCCTGATTGTCCACTTGAACAGGCAGATGCAATTTTGTTGTTGTTGCAGTGGTGGATGGGGCTGAGTGCGGCGGCACTTAGTGTGTGATGGGGGTGGAGACGGGCAATGAGGCACAAGACAGTTTTAATTGAGGCCCGAATGAGGATAAGGTGAGGTTTAAACTCCACACTGAAATCCTGCAGTGGTTCAGTGAGTTTAAGAGAAAGGCTGAAACCAATCCCTTTGGGAGTAAGAAGTCAAAGTCACTGTTTTACATTGTATTCCGCAAATATACTGTATATTGTGTGTTTTCTCCACATGGTCCCCACCAGCCACTGGTCACATGGTCCCCACCAGCCACTGGTCACATGGTCCCCACCAGCCGCTGGTCACATGGTCCCCACCAGCCGCTGGTCACATGGTCCCCGCCAGCCGCTGGTCACATGGTCCCCACCAGCCGCTGGTCACATGGTCCCCGCCAGCCGCTGGTCACATGGCCCCCACCAGCCACTGGTCACATGGTCCCCGCCAGCCGCTGGTCACATGGTCCCCGCCAGCCACTGGTCACATGGTCCCCGCCAGCCTCTGGTCACATGGTCCCCGCCAGCCACTGGTCACATGGTCCCCGCCAGCCGCTGGTCACACGGTCACCGAGGAATGGTCACATGGTCTCCGCCAGTCACTGGTCACATGACCCCCAAAAGCCACTGGTCATCACATGGTCCCCACCAGCCTCTGGTCACATGGTCCCCACCAGCCACTAGTCACATGGTCACCGAGGAATGGTCACATGGTCTCCGCCAGCCACTGGTCACATGACCCCCACCAGCCACTAGTCATCACATGGTCCCCACTAGCCACTGTTCACATGGCCCCCACCAGCCACTGGTCACGTGGTCCCCGCCAGCCACTGGTCACATGGCTCCCACTGGTCACGTGGTCCTTACCAGCCACTGGTCACGTGGTCCCCACCAGCCACTGCCCGCCAACCGCTGGAGGCTGGTCACGTGGATGGTGCCCCGCCCACCGCAGTCCCTATTGGCTGAGTGTGGGGCGGGGGCGGGGTCAGGGCGGCGGTTGGTCGCGTGCTGCAAAGGTGGTTGAGGCGGAGCGGCTCGCGCTGGTCTGAGGAGAAAAGGCGGCAAAGAGCGACTGAGAGAACAGAGTGAGTGAGTTACAGAGAGAGCCCGAGAGCCCCCCCCGGGAGTTAACGACGCTCGTGTTGCTAAGGTATATGGGTCATTGGAGGCCGTGGTGTATTTTAGGACTGGACATGAGAGAAGGAGGACATGAATGGTTGGTCAATAAAAGGGCAATGCTGTGAGAGGTGCGGGGTGTGTGCGTGAGTTCACAGCAAGTCACTGGGTTGCCTGACTGTCCCTGTCCCAGCCATGCAGGAGCGGTGCAGGGAGCCATTAAGGTGGAATTTCATTTCATCTCAACTTCCAGGCCATCGAGATGGTGCGTGAAATCATCGGAGGGGTTTTATTTATCTTCCTCTTTCATTTCCACTGGATTCAAAACTCTTTGATAACTGCTTTTTATAGTCATATCCTCACGGTACTCCTCTCCCCTCTTCCCCTCTGTTTGCTGATCCATGTCTTAGTAAAGAACTGTACTTTTTTTCTCATGTTTCTTCCCACATGAAATGCTGTATGAAAGTGTATGTGGTTATGCATTACATATTTTTCTGACTATTCTTCCCCGGGTATTGTTGGTCTTTTAATCAATGTATGTAAACAAAATTCTCCAATCTCAGAAAAACATGTATTTGCACATAAATTATGCCTTTGTCATCAAGCATGTAACCCCATCATTATGCAGTTTATTTTCTAGAGCAATTGCCGATCGCCCAACTTTCTTCATGTTTATCCAAGGTACAATTTAAGATGAACGTCTTCTGTATGGTATTGTTGGCTTTGACTGTGCTGAGCATTGAGAGGAACAATCTATTTGCGGTAAGAAATGATAGTTATTATCATTGTTTACTTCCGGCCTTCATTTTTCCTTTCTAATCACATTTTTCTTCTCAGCAGGTGAATATTTCGGTGGGAACCGCTTTACAAGGTTTGTTTCTTGAACAGAATTTCACTTCAGTTATTTTTAAAATTGGAAGATTAAATGAGGTAACTACTTTTGAGATGCATTCAAACTAAAAGAAAAAAATGAACAGAGAGAGAGATGTCCCCGAATATTTTACTCACCAATGTTATTTTTCAAATTGGATTAGGCGTCACCATTTGGTGCGACATTTATTGCTGTAAAATGCTACAGTAATTCTTGATTTGATGTAGTACCTTTAACATTGGGAGGAAGTACCAAAGCAAGGATATCACGGGTTTCACTCTAAAGTGAGGTGACTGTTTATTTTTGTGAGCAAACACAGCAGCCAATTTAGCCAGAGCAATATACTTCAAGCAGCCATGATGTGAATGGTCAATTTTGTTGTCCAGGACACCAGGAGAAACCTTTTCTTCATATAGTGCTATGGAATCTTAATGTCCACTTGAACAGGCAGATGGGACCCCGGTTTAACATCTCATCTGAAGGATGGCACCAACAACAATGCAACATGCCCTCAGCACTACACTGGAATGTCAGCCTAGACTAGTGGTGGCCAACCTGTGGCCCATGGGCCGGAAGTGGCCTGCGGGGCCGTCAAGAAGCAGCCCCCCCACACCCCCCCTCCCTCCCACCGAACATTCGCACAAGTCTAGGTAAGTCTGTGTTCGTTCGGTAGTGTGGTTTCAGTTTTTTCTCGATTGAATATTTCTTGATTTATGGCATAAATGAACAAATATTCATTTAAGAAAATTTGTTTGATTGGCCGACCATAAAGGTTGGCCACCACTGGCCCACCAGTGGCCCACCACCTCATCAACTCACGATGAGCTTGAACCCACAACCTTCTGACTCAGAGACGAGAATGCTACCAACTGAGCCAGGTTGCCACACAAACGCAGACTTTACTGACAATAGGAGATCCTTGTATGGAATGTTGTCTCTCTGATGTTATGTGAAAGGATCTAAAGGAGAAATATATTTTAAAATGAATAAAATTAAATACTGCATATTGTGCTTAAATTTCAGATCGTTTAGAAGAGGAAAATGACTTGAGTGTATTCAGCAGAATCTTGAAAATCAATGAACGTCTGAGTAAGAAAAATGTTGGATTCAAATATATATGAATATTTGTTTTAAAATTGCTTTTTTATATATATTATGGCATATATATAGTCAATCCTTTGAGGAGATGTGTGTGTATATATATTTTTAAAACAAAACAACTGCACCGGAAAAAAAGAATACTACGTGATTTTTATTCATTTTCTCAGAATAGTTCTCTTTGCCGTTGAGGGTAAGGCACCTTCAAATTCTCATGTTGTCATCTCCTCACTAACAATATTTTCGTCAACCTCACTTTATGCACTGTACTCCTCGGCTCTTTTTCGGCAGGACTATTCTGAAATATTTAAGATATTTTAGATTGTGGAGATTGTTCTGTAAATTGAAGTCAGTCCAGTTTCAGTGTTAATCTTCCTGTGATGCCTGAATCTTGACTCGTTCGTTTTTAAAAAGTTTCCAACAATTTGGATTAAAATGTGTAAATAGATGTGTATGCAATCATAGATCCTTGCAACTCTGAATTCATTGTCTAACTTAGGTTGGCTAGATGTTGAACAGCAATCACAGGTAGCATTTATATAGCAAGATTTGCATAAAATAACTGCCCGCGATGTTTAAAGAAGTTAAGTAATTTATTTTTCGGCAACTGGTTGTTTAACACATGCAGAAACAATCACCATGCTTATGTTCCACATCTTGCCATCCTGTTAGAAACTGAAGAGCTGAGGATCAAGCTGGACGCTAAGGTTGTGCACTGGTTTCGTGAGTTAGAGAGGTAGAGGCCGTGGAAGTTGAGGTTAGAGTCAGAGTGAGGAAGCTTTGGTGAAATCAGGGAGGTTGGCTTCTGTGTTGTCCAGATTTAGTTGCAGGAAATTGTGGATCAGCCAGGTCTTCATGTTTGACAGACAAACAGACAGAACATCAGTCCCAAACATTGGGACGTTCTACGTCTACGTTCTCCTTTTACATGTAGTTTGTTTTAGGATATTGTACAAACTTGCAGTATGGAATTATAGCAAGTTATTAGTTACTACTGTATTAATTGTTCATAGTTTTTGTGAGGCACACTGAATTTTATCTTTAAATGTAATATTTATAATGATAATGGATTTTTTTTGTAGTAAATAGAAGTGTTGGTGACCAAATCATTCAATTTGGAGATATTGCAGTTAGTACTTCCAAAAATGCAAGAATGTGTAACAAATGCTATTGGGATCGTTCAAGTGATGGGAAGGTTTACGTACCATATATATTCAGCAGTGACTTTAGTAAGTTATTTTTGTTAATAATTCTCAAATAATTAAAATAATACGTTATTCTAAATTAGCTGTCTTTGCCCTGCGCTTTCTGATAAATACATTGGGGACTTCAAACTATAATCCTGAGAGGTTGATAATTCTGTGAACAGAGTACATGGAGAAATTCAGACTTGGAATCTGAGGATTTTCATCAAATGATTTTGGATTATAACACAACTGTTCTCTTTTTGAGGAATTCAATTACTGTTTGTTCGATATTGAACGGATAAAGTCAAATATGTTGAGAAGACATTTTTCTTACAAACCCTTTCTCGGGTGAATCATCATACTTTTGAGTATTGGTATCCTTGATAATGCATAGGGATTTTATAAATCCTCAGGCTCCAAGCTTCTATTGTACATTATTGACCTAACATTGCTCATGGCATTACAGTGCAGTGTTGGGGGAATTGATCTCCTTCAGATAAGATGTTAAACCCCACCCATCCATTTTGACCTAACTCCCCTGACAGTGACTATCTGCTGCTTTATATTCAGACTATTCTGAATCCTTGTCCATATCTTTTTCTTGATTTCCAGTATCCTGTTTGTGACTGAGTTTGTCACACGAGTCATTCATGTGATTTTTTTTTTGTGGTTCGCCTCATAGAGGTCTAGAAGTCATGACTACCCACAGTAAATTTGGGCTTTCACCTCCTCAAAAAAAAAGTCGTATGAGATCGGTCAGACAAGACCTAACCTTTCTGAACCTGCGCTGGCTGTCAATTATTAGATTTTTCGATAGGTAATAATATAGTCAATACACATACAGTAATTACTGTAAAGTGAAAACAACGAAAATTATATTTGTATAGCACCTTTCACATCGGGAGGACGTTCCAAGGCCCTGGACAATCAGTGTTTCGGACCCGAGCTGGGGGTCGGGATCGTGGAGGGCAGCGGGGGAAAGATGATGATCAAAAGCATGGTCGAAGAGGAGGGTATTGAGACAGGTCTTGAAGGAGGCAAGGGAGGGGGCGAGGCGGAGGGACTGTGGGATGGAGTTCCAGAGGATGGGGCCAGAGTGGCTGAAGGCCCGCCAACGTGGGGCAGGCGAGGAGGGGGTAGTAAAGCAGGCCGGAGCCCGCTGAGCGGAGGGAGCGGGCAGATTAGTAGGGGGCTAGGAGGACGCAGTGGTGGGGGGAGAGCAAGACCACGGAGGGCTTTGAAAGTGAGGACCAGGATCTTGAACTGTATCCTCTGTGTGATAAGAAACCAGTGGAGTCGGGGGAGGATGGGAGTGATAGGGTCATGGATCCTAGTGCGGGAGAGGACACGGGCTGCAGAGTTCTGGAGGATCTGCAGCCTATGGAGGGAGGAGTTGGGGAGGCCGACAAGCAGGGAGTTTGCGTAGTCGAGCCTGGATGTTATGAATGCAAGTATTAGGCAGCCTACAGTGTGAGACAATGGAACGTTGAGATATTTTCTCAATTGCTATTATTGCTCAATCAGTAACTTAAATATACTGTTAATAATTGTTATCAACAGGCGAGAAAAACAGAATTAAAATCCATTCTGCAATGATGGAGTACAGCATTTTAACATGCATAAAGTTTGTACATAGAACAAACGAAGCTGCCTATATTGAACTTATTTCAAAATCAGGGTGAGTTCAAAAAGGTCCAATTTATTAACTTGTGTTCATTACAATTACTTAAGCATGCTGTAGAAAGCTTGATAGAATTTAAATTAATGTATTATCTAAAACAGTAAGGTTAATATTGAAAAAGTAACAAGTGATTTTACAAGTTTCAGTTAATGTTTCAGTTACAAATTCATGACAAATAATTAACATTAATTAGGGATTTGTGATCATGATGATTTTAATAATAATCTCTGCGTTTGATATAGCTCCTCATCACGTCGTTGAGACGTTTCAAAGTGCTTCACAGAATATACTGTAAAGTGAATCTTATGGATTTTCTGGGTGAAAAGCGACATTTGGTGGTTGTTCATAACATTGATTTTAGTAGATATTCCTTGCTCTTTCCCAAAGGCATCTCATACTCTTTTGGAACAATACTTGTCAGCATTTGAACACATTAAGAGTATGGCTAAAGAGCAGGAGAGTGGAAGAGTACTAATACAATGGGTTTCTATGGGTATAGGAAGGATTACATGAGACCACATAGATGACATCCCACAAGTTTATTTCTCACAACACCTTAAAGCAGGGTGGTCCAACTTTTTGGCTGCCATAGGCCGGATTCTCTATTTGAGAAAGGGCTGCATCAAGTGTGGGCCACATCTGACCTGGCCGGTGAATGTATCATATCCAACTTCCACTCCCTCCCTGGTGAATGTCCTCCCAGGGCAGTGGGAGCAGCTGGCGGAAGATGCAGTGCGGATGGTGGAAACAATACCGACCGTTACTGCAGTCTGCCAGGAAGGCAAACGCATCTCTTACCAACTTAGCTATTTAATAATAATAATGCTTGCATTTGATATAGCGCTTTTCACATCGGGAGGACGTCCTAAAGCGCTTCACAGAACACACTGTAAAGTGAATTGACTGTATATTTGTGGGTGAACGCGGCAGCCAATTGCGCACAGCAATGTCCCACAAACAGTCGTAGATTGAAAATGACCAATTTATTATTGTTTTTGGTTTTGGAGGGATTATTATTAGGCTCTGTGTGGAGTAAGGAAACTTGCCCAAGGTTTGGCCCTCTGCCTGGAATTGAACTCAGGTCTCTCACTGGCAAAGCGAGTGCTCTAACCACTGAGCTACAGGACTCCACAAAGTCCTGCAGCTGATTAACAACAACAACAACAACAAGATTCCATTTCATAGAGCGGCTTTCTCGTTGGGAGGACGTCCCAAGGCGCTGTACAGTTGGGTCAGGACCCGAGCAGGGGGGAAATGGTCAGCGGGAGGGAAGGGAGGGAGCGAGGAGGGGGTAGAGAGTCGAGAGGGGAGCCGAAGGCACGGTCAAAGAGAAAGGTCTTGAGACCGGCCTTGAAGGAGGAAAGGGAGGAGGCGGCGAAGGCACTAGGGGATGGAGTTCCAGAGCCTCGGGGCTGAGAGGCTGAAGGCCCGGCCACCGATGGTAGGGTGGTTGAGGCGGGGGATGTGGAGGAGACCAGAGCCAGAGGAACGGAGGGTACGGGCAGGTAGGTCGGGGGATAGTAGGTCGGAGAGGTAGGAGGGAGCAAGGCCTTGTAAGTGAGGATGAGGATCTTGAAATCAATCCTCTGGGGGATGGAGAGCCAGTGGAGGCGAGCGAGAGTGGGAGTGATTAAGAGAGGGATTGAGAGAGGGGGAATGGGAACACTCTCCTTCTCTCCCCGTCTCACTCTCCTGAACACACACTCTCTCAATTACTCTTGCTCCACTTCTCATACTCTCTTCCCTCTCACACTTCACCTCCCCCCCCCCCCTGCTCCCCTCCCCTCCTCCTCCTCCCTCCCCCACTACTCCTCCTGCCCCCATCCACCCTCCAAGCACCAACACCCTCCACCCCATCATGTGGAGTATTAAGATCTGGTAAAATAAGTTATTTTTGCATTGCAAGACAAAAATCATGTTTGTTTTCTTTTCTTCCCCAGCTGTTGGTCCTCTGTAGGACGTACAGGTCAAAAACAGGGTTTATCACTGCAAATTCCCGGTTGTATACATGAAGGTGTAATAGAACATGAATTGATGCATGCACTAGGTTTGAATCACGAACAGTCCCGAAGTGACCGTGATGGCTATGTACGGATCTTGTTGGAGAACATTGTGCCTGGTTAGTATGAAACGGTTGTGTATTCAGTAGTACTGTTTATCCTGTGTCTTGAAGTTTCCAGATCTTGTCAACTTGTAGCTACTCTCTGGATTCACATTACCACTAATGGTGTAGGGCTAAATAATTCACATGCAACTGAGGTGTGATATCAAACAATTAGTTTGGATGAAGAAGGCCCTTTGGCCCACAGCATTTAAAAAGCGTCTTGATGGTGTGATGGGAGGATGGTGGGGTGGATATGCTGATTTCAACCCAGCTTATCCACCCATCTCCCCACATCACACCATCAAGTTGCTTTTTAAATGGACCCAGTATCTTGACCGCAACCACCGATTCTGGAAACCTGTTGCTAAATAACCTCTGAGTAAAAACAAAAAGCTCCCTGGTATCTATCCTAGGGTATAAGGCTTGTCTCAGCTTTGAACTAGAGTTAGATGAAACTCAGTTGTCGGACTCAAGCTTGCAATTAAAAGCATAAATATTAATAGCTGAACTTTTCTGCTGAAAATGTGAAAACCTGGGAGCCATCAGCCCTGGAAAAATCTATTTAAAAAAAATTGAGCAGTTCTCAATTTGAAATATCAGGCTGCAGCATGCTCAAGTACTAAATGTTAGTTTTTTTTAACCAATAAATTATATAATGGAACATTTTCACCCTTACATTTTTTTAAAAAGTATTTAAAATTCTCCCCCTCCTTGATGATAACATTACTATCATGCTACTCCCCCTTAGCCCAAACACACACTTTTACCCACTGAATATTGTTCCATTTGTTGAAAGTGAAAATATATTAGAGATTTAAGGAAAAGCAAAACTTTGAACATTAGCATGTGAGGAAGTAAATGTACTTCTACTTTAAAATATAGATCAGTGTCAAGCACACTGTGATTAATTCTGGGTGTGTTATTTTTACAGGTAATGAGCATAATTTTGTTAAAATGAAGACGAATAACATGGGGACACCATATGATTACGGTTCCATTATGCATTATGGCAAGTAAGTATAAGATCACCTGTTTACATTGTAGTAATATAATATAATCCTTGCATTTGATAAAGCACCTCATCACGTCTTTGAGATTGACTATATTTTGTAGGTGAAACCGGCAGCCAATTGCACACAGCAATGTCCCACAAACAGTTGTACAAATTATCATCCAGACATCAAGCCCTGGATGAGAGCTAATTTGCTTCAGTTGAACATCAACAAGACTGAGGCTCTCTGGATTGGTTCCAGTCAGGGCCTCCACAACTCTGACAGCATCACCATCCATGGATACACACTCCACCTTACTGAGCCAGTGCGGAACCTTGGGGCCTTGTTTGACCCTCAACTGTCCTTTCTACCCCATGGGCCATTCTGTCTTCCCCACCTCTACAACACCGCCCGGCTCCGCTACTGCCGCACTCCGCAGGCCACCAAAACCCTCATTCACACTTTCATCATATCAAGGCTTGACTATGCAAATTCCTTGCTTGTCGGCCTCCCCAACTCCCCCCTCCGTAGGCTGCAGATCATCCAAAACTCTCAGCCCGTCCTCTTCCGCACCAAGCTCCGTGACCCTATCACCCCCATTCTCACCCGACTCCACTAGCTTCCCATCACGCATAGTTCAAGATCCTCGTCCTCCCCTTCAAAGCCCTCCATGGTCTTTCTCCCCCCCTACCTCCTAACCTCCTACCAGCCTGCTTGTTCCCGCTGCTCAGCAGGCTCTGGCCTGCTTCATGTCCCCCGCCTCACTCGCCCCACTATTGGTGGGTGGGCCTTCTGCCACTCTGCCCCACCCTCTGGAACTCCATCCCACAATCCCTATGTCTCGCCCCCCTCCCTTGCTTCCTTCAAGATCCATCTCAAGACTTTCCTCTTCGACCTTGTTTTCAATCTCTCTGTTCCCCCCCCCCCACCCGCCCTCCATCCTCCCCGACCCCGAAGAGTTAATAGATGTTTGTGAACTTCATGTCTTTTCAGAAGGATGTTCCAGTTTCATCCTGTATTCTATCACAATATTGTCCCCAAATTCCTCGACTATACGTGGAATTTAGCTGTCAGAGACTGAAACGTTTTGCAAAATCAAATTTAAGTTATGCAGGGAGGGAGTGGTAAAGATGGATAAGTTAATTTTAAGGAATTGATCTTACAAGATTTTTTTACAGCAAAAGTAATGAAAGTAGAAATGAGCAATCATAATGTGCAACTAAATGTTTTTATTATTTATTACAGATATTCTTTTTCTAAAGGTGGAGGACCTACAATTGAACCCAAACCAGATCCCAGAGTGAATATTGGACAACGTGATGGTTTTTCCCCTTTGGATGTTCTAAAAATTAACAAATTGAATGGCTGCCGTAAGTGTAATTTGTTTTCTGTGAATTGCAATAATAGTCACTTAATTGTTATTAAGGTAAAATATTTATCCTTAAATCTAAAGATAAAAATAAGATGACTTCATAGAATCATAGAATTATACAGCACAGAAGGAAGCCATTCAGCCCATCATATCTGTGGCGGCTCTTTTAAAAGAGCTGTCCAAATCAACCCCACTCCCCGCGCTCTCCCCATAGCCCCGAAAACCTGTCTTCCCCAAATAATTATCTACTTCTCTCTTAAAAAAAATTCACTGTGTCAAATAGGCAAATTTCCTTACTTCATACTCTGTTTAACTAGCAGTAAGTGGGAACCCAGTTGTTAGTCGATTGGCGGATCGCTTTCCGGTGGTAACAATCCCTCAAAAAAACAAATTTGGTCACTCAATCCACAACTGTTTGTGGGACACTGCTGTGTACAATTGGCTGTCACGTTTTGCCCACAAAATACAGTCACTCCACTTGACAGTATATTCTGTGAAGCACTTTGAAATGGTGATAAGGCATTATATCAAATGTGAGGATTACTATTATTATAGCGAGCTTTACAATGCATTTTACAACAAAACACTCTGTTCGGCAAGCATTGTGTGTCCTTCCAAGAAGTGAGTGGATATTATATACCATATACATATGTGGACTTTCAGTGATTTAGTTTGGAGACTCATAAGCATGGTGATGGGATTCCACAGGGGCATCCACATATTAGTCACCTTGTTAATCAAAAAAAGGCTGAATTTAGATAGGCTCAAGAACCTTCTTAATCTGATCGTCTCTTATGATCTTCAATCTATTTTCTAAAATAAGTAAATATAATTTACCTCATGCACATCCCAGGGCTCTGTTCTCACTGGGAGCTAGACATTTAATTTCTACTATAGATTTCATAACCAAACAACTTAATTGGAAATAAATTAAATTGATGTGTTCTGTCCTATCCTCTCCTGGTTAAGGGGCATCTAAATGCTATACTGGTTGAAAGGTATTGAATTGTATAATTGTGTTTTTCTAATAATATCAGCAGTATCACTGCATATTATTTTTATGTTTCAGAGATTTGTGGAGCCCTAATGATAGACCCAAGTGGAAGTTTCACCTCTCCAAACTTCCCCGAATCGTATCCTAACAAAGCTGAGTGCAATTGGTTAATTAGGTCAAAACACCGTCAAAAGGTAAGCAACAGCAGGAAAACCTTTAGGCCAGATATTTAAAGAAATCATAGAATTATATGGGACGGAAGGAGGCCATTCGGCCCATTGTATCTGTGCCGGCTCTTTGAAAGAGCTTCCAAATTCAGCCCACTCCCCCCAGAGCCCTTCCAATTTATCCTCCCCAAATATCTATCCACTTCTCTCTTGAAAGTTGTTACCGAATTGGCTTTCACCACCCTTTCAGGCAGAGCACTCCAGATCCAAACAACTGGTTCTGTGAAAAAAATTCTCCATGCCTTCCCTCTGGTTCTTTTGAAAACTATTTTAAATCTGTGTCCTCTGGTTACCGACCCACCCACCAGTGGAAACAGTTTCTCCCTATCAGATCCTCATGTTTTTGAACACCTCTATTAAATCTCCCCTTAACCTTCTCTGCCCCAAGGAGAATAATCCTCGCTTCTCGAGCCTCTCCTGATAAAGTCCCTCATTCCTGGTACCATCCTGGTAAATCTCTTTTGCACCCTCTCCAATGCCTTGACATCCTTCTTAAATTGTGGTGCCCGAACTAAACACGGTCTCTCGCTGAGGCCTAACTAGTGATTTATAAAGGTTCATCATAACCTCTTTTTGTATTCTATGCCCCTATTTATAAAGTATGCTTTTTTAACATCTTTTATCTGCCTGTCGCCTTCAAAGGTTTGCTTATGCAGACCCCCGGGTCTCTCTGTTCTTGCACCCCTCTAAAATTTAGCATCTAGCTTATATGACCTCTTCTCATTCTTCCTCCTAAAATGAATCACTTTGCGTTGCTCCGCATTAGATTTCATCTGCCATGTGTCTGCCCATTTCACCAATCTGCCTATGTCCTTTTCCAGTCTGTTACTATCTTCTTCATCATTTACTACTTTTCCTAGCTTTGTATTATCTACAAAGTTAGAAATTGTACTCCCTATATCCAGATCATTTATATGGATTAAAAAGAGCAGGGTCCCTATACAGACCCCTGGGGAACAACAACAACAAGATTCCATTTATAAAGCGCCTTTCACGTCAGGAGGACGTCCCAAGGCGCTGCACAGTTGGGTCATGACCCGAGCAGGGGGGAAATGGTCAGGGTGAGGGGAGGGAAGGGAGGGAGCGAGGAGGAGGGAAATGGTCAGGGGGAGGGAAGGGAGGGAGCGAGGAGCGGGGAAATGGTCAGGGTGAGGGGAGGGAAGGGAGGGAGCGAGGAGGGGGAAGAGAGTCGAGAGGGGAGCTGAAGGCACGGTCAAAGAGAAAGGTTTTGAGACCGGCCTTGAAGGAGGAAAGGGAGGAAGCAAGGCGAAGGCACTGGGGGATGGAGTTCCAGAGCCTGGGGCTGAGAGGCTGAAGGCCCGACCACCGATGGTAGGGCGGTTGGGGCGGGGGACGTGGAGCAGACCGGAGCCAGAGGAACGGAGGGTACGGGCAGGTAGGTAGGGGGATAGTAGGTTGGAGAGGTAGGAGGGAGCAAGGCCGTGAATGGCCTTGTAGGTGAGGATGAGGATCTTGAAATCAATCCTCTGGGGGATGGGGAGCCAGTGGAGGCGAGCGAGGGTGGGAGTGATGTGGTCCGGAGCCTGGTGCGGGACAGTACACGAGCTGCAGAGTTCTGAATGACCTGCAGCTTGTGGAGGGAGGTGGCGGGAAGGCCGGCGAGGAGAGAGTTCCCATAGTCCAGCCTTGAGGTGACAAAGGCGTGAACCAGGGTTTCAGCAGCGTGAGGGGTGAGGTAATGCCGTAGTCTGGCGATATTCCGGAGGTGATGGAAGGCGGTGCCAGTTGTGGTGCGGATGTGAGGGAGAAAGGACAGCTCAGGGTCGAACAAAACGCCGAGGTTCCTGACTGGCTTTGAGAGGTGGAGAGTGCAGCCTTGGATGCTGATGGTGTCAGCGCCTGAGGTGCGGAGGCGCTGACGTGAGCCAATCAGGAGGGCCTCGGTTTTTCGCACGTTGAGCTGAAGAAAGTTGTCTCTCGTCCAGGACTCGATGTCGGACAGGCAGGCTGTCAGGACATCGGTGGTCGTGGAGTTGAGAGTAGAGGAGGAAAGGTAGAGTTGGGTGTCATCCGCATACATGTGGAAGTTAACTCCATGTCTGCGGATGATGTCACCAAGGGGGAGGGTGAAGAGGAGGGGACCGAGGACAGAGCCCTGAGGGACACCACATGAGACAGTACGGGGGGTGGAGGAGAAGCCATTCGTCGAGACAAAGTGAAGACGGTGAGAAAGGTACGACCTAAACCATTCAAGGACAGTGCCTTGAAGGTTGAGGTGGGAGGACAAGCGGTGGAGTAGGATAGCGTGGTCGACCGTATCGAATGCTGCCGATAGGTCGAGGAGGACGAGGAGACAGAGGGAGCCCTGGTCACAGATGGTCAGGATATCATTGGTGACCTTGACCAGGGCAGTTTCTGTGCTATGGGCAGCACGGAAACCTGACTGAAGGGGTTCGAAAAGAGAATGGGTGGAAAGGAAAGAGCGCAGTTGGGAGGCGACAACTCTTTCCAAGACCTTGGAGAGAAAGGGGAGGTTGGAGATGGGCCGGTAGCTTGATAGCTGCGACGCATCAAGGGAGGGTTTTTTCAGGGTGGGCGTGATGATGGCAGTTTTTAATGGAATGGGGACAGAGCCAGAGGAGAGGGACAGGTTGATGATGTCAGTGATATGTGGGGCAAGAAAGTGGAGCTGGGAGATAAGGAGTGGAGTGGGGATGGGGTCAAGGGAGCAGGTGGTTGGTTTTAGGGATAGGATGAGTTCAGTGACAGAGGGTGGGGAAACGGGTACGAAGGTGTGTAGGGGAGGATGGGTAGGAGTCGGAGTGTGGGAGGGAAGGGGTGGGTGGTGGGTGGAAGTTGGAGGGGAAGTGACCGCGGAGCGGATTCCCTTGATCTTGGATTCAAGGAAATCCAGCATCTCCTCGCAGTGAAGGTTGGAGGAGATGACCTGCGCGGGGTGGCGGGGGGGACGGAGGAGTCGGGTTGTGGTGGAAAACAGTAGCCTGGGGTTGTTCTTCGCCTCCAGGATTATCCTGGAGTAGAAGGACGACTTGGCCGAGGCTAGAGTGGAGCGGTAAATTTTGAGGAGGTCCAGCCAGATTTGTCGGTGGACCGTTAGGCCAGATTTGACACAGGTGCGTTCAGCAGCCCGCACCTGGCTTTTCAGTGAGCGGAGGTGGGTGGTGTACCAGGGGGAGGAGCGGGAGTAGGAGACAGTGCGGGAAGTGATGGGGGCAAGAGTATCGAGTGTGGAGGAGAGGGTATTGTGGAGGAGGGAGAGAGGAGAAGAGGGGTCGGTGAGGGTTGAAGGCCAGAGGGAGAGGAGTTCAGAGGACTCCAAGGCATCGGTTAGGGATTGTGGGGGTAACTTCTTCCAAGGGCGGTAGAAGATGGTGGTGGGTCTGGTGGAGGTGGGGAGGGGGGTGGAGGTGGTGAAGGAGATGAAGTAGTGGTCAGAGATGGCCTTGTCGGTAATGGTGACATCCGAGACACTGAGGCCCCGGGTGATCACCAAATCGAGTGGGTGACTGTGAGTGGGGGAGTTTATGTGTAAGGAGAGGTTGAGTGAGGAGAGCAGGGAAGAGAAGTCTGTGGAGATGGAGCAGGAGGGGGTGAAGTGTAGGTTAAAGTCGCCCAGGATGATGAGGCGATCAGAGCAGAGGCAAAGAGATGTGAGGAGTGTTGAAATGTCAGAGATGAAGGTGGGAGAGGTTTTAGGGGGCCGGTAGAGGAGGAGGATTTTAAGGGAGAGGAATGAGGGGTGGGAGAGGGTGAGGTGCTCAAAGGAGGGGAAAGAGCCAGTGGAGTAGGGGGATAGGGCAAGTGGTGTCCTTGAGATAAGGGCAACACCACCGCCACGGCGGTTGGGGCGGGGGATGTGGTGGGAGGTGTAGCCGGGTGGCGTGGCCTCCGTGAGGGGGAAGGTGTCGCCTGGGGTGAGCCAGGTTTCTGTTAAGGCCATGATATCAACGTTCTCATCAAGGATGAGATCGTTGATGACCAGGGCCTTGTTGCAGAGGGAGCGGACATTTTGCAGTCCGATGTGGAGGGAGCGGTTGACAGAAGGGTGTGTGGGAGGGGAGGGGGTCCAGGTTGTGAGGCAGGGGTGGGGGGAATGGGGATGAGGGAGGAGAGGTTGACTCCCCGGGTCTGTGTCCGGGGTGGGTGGCGAGTGTGGTGGGGAATGGGGCAGTCGGTGTGGCTGCTGCTGGACAGCCAACGCCGAGTGCCGCGGTGAGCCCGGCGGAGGATTCCCAGGCTGGAGCAGAGGGAGGTTGTGGGAGGGTCAAGTGGGGATAGAAGACGAGAGGGACGGAGAGAGAGGAGGAGAGAGCGGGAGAGATGCAGAGGGGGGAGGGTTTGGGGGGAGAGAGGAGGGGGTGAGGGGGTGAGGGTCAAAGCGGCAGCCATAGTGCGCACGCGGGGACCGGGAGCGAGCGGTCAGGTGGATGGCATTATCCCGTAGATTGGGGCAGCGAACCCAACAGGACCATAGTGGGCTCTGATGTGAGCCCTGGGGGGGGGCGCAGAGAGCTTTTGTTTTTTTTTTTTTTTTTGCGCGCGCACGCACGCACCTGAAAACTAATCTATGACGTCGCAGTTCCCCGCTCCGCCCCCACACCTCCCCCCCCCCCCCCCCCGGGGCTGAACTCGCTCCGGCGTCGAGTTTAAGTACCTGGGTCAGTAGGCCCGGGCTCCTCCCCGCGCTGTCCTGCCGCCGCTCCCCGACTCACTGTATACTTCTCTCCGGTCTGAGAAACAACATTTAAAGAATGTTTAAATCGCTGTTTACAGAAAAACGCAAAGGAAATACTTGCACAATTATTTACTGACTTGAATAATCTAATCCTTATTATAGAAGATTATGTTCTTATGATTCTCAAATGTTGCTCATTCTCATTGTACAAAAAACTTTTAATGTTATTTTACTAGGAATGGTGAACTGTGGTCTCTGGGACCATTGATTATTTTATATATTTTACAGATTCTCCTTGAATTCATTGCAT